AGTAATAATATAAGGTGTCATAGTCAGGAACGGAGGTCTTTGTATTGCCCAGTGACGTATGATATGTGTTATTAATTTAAGGGAACTTTAATGAAAAGGGCTTGAACTAAGTTTATTTTAACAAAAAGCCATGCTATAAACTTTATTTAATGAAAAAGAATTAAATTTTAATGAAAACCCCTTAAATTTTAATAAAAAGGACAAAAAAACTTAATTTTTAACGAAAAGGACACAATTTAAAAAAAAACCAAAAAAAACAAAAAATCTGACGCGCGCACAGTACATGTACACTGTTTATGAAACTGAACACTGTTTATAAAACTGAACACTATTTATGAAACTGCACTATTTATGAAACTGAACGGTACTATACTATTTATTGGTTCAATTTTATAAATAGTGTCTAGTTTTTTGTCCACTTTCATAAAATGATTTCTAGTTCTTGATCATGTTTCATAAATAATGCCTAGTTATTGGGTCCAATTTCATAAATAATGTATAGTAATTGATACAATTTCATTAATATTGTCTCTTTCTTGGTTCGGTTTCATAAATAGTGTCTAGTTATTGGTCAACTTTCATAAATAATGCCTATTTCTTGGTCATAATTCATAAATATTGTCTAGTTCTTAATTCAGTTTCATAAATAGTGTATAGTCCAGTGTTCAAATTATGCCTAATTCTTGTTTTCGTTTCATAAATAGTGTCTATTTATTGGTCTAATTTCATTAATAATGTCTACTTATTGGTGAAGTTTTATAAATAGTGTTTAATTCTTGGTTCAATTTCATAATGTTTGAAACTTAGACCCTTATTGGTCAAGTTTTATAAATAGTGTTTAATTCTCAGTAATTATATTTAAAAAGCTGTTTTCAATTACCAAATTAAAATTTCCTCACTTTTTTCATATACCTACAATAATAAATGTAGCTTTCCATCCAATTTCTTGAGCTTAGGTGTCATCTTCGAGAATTTTTTCCTTGTGCTCGTAACACAAATGATATACCACATGTTATTATATAAGTGTGGTAGAAAATTTTATTTTTTATGTTATTAAATTTTTAACACAAGATTCTCACAACTTGTATGGAGTGCTATATTCTGGGCACATTGAAAAGTTTCTCATCATCATGACTACTATTAGACAACAACACCACAAAAATAAAACAGGAGAATGTAATTCAATTCGAAGTTTTTTTTTTTTATTTCTTTGCAAAAAAAACAACTATTAATGTAGCTAAATGATGGGACAAAAGGTAGGAGAAAAAAAGTGGACTGGGGGGTGGGGGGGGGGTATACGCCCAGTACTAGTGAGTTTGTTATGTTTTTTTTTTTTTTAGTCTTTTGTCCTTATTATTAAAATAAAGTTAGTGGGTGGTTTTTGATTAAAATGTAAAGATTTGAAGCCCTTTTCATTAGTTTTATTTTAATTGAATATATCAAGTGATTGAGCAACTATGTTACTCTTCTTTTAAGATTATAAAATATGTTGGAGAAGCAAAGAGGGGGATGTAGGTTACGGATCAATAGAGTTCATAATTCCTAAACAGAGCGTATCCTTCCATCTTCTCTACATATGCCCAATTCCTTGTCGTATTTTTATTTTCTTTTTAATGATCCAGTGAAACTATGGAGTTAATGCTATTTTAGGAATGCTAAGGCTAAATAATTGATCTTGTGTGCTAATACTAAGTGTGTGGCAGGTACTATACCATATGAAATTGGCGATCTTCAAAGTCTACAGTATTTGTTACTCGATCTTAACAATCTCAACGGCCCCGTTCCATCTACAATCTTCAATATGTCAAAGATGACAGTACTTTCACTTGTTGGCAATCAACTCTCAGGTAGCCTCCCAGCAGACATAGGCCTTGGAATTCCGAACCTACAAAAGATATATTTAGGAATCAATAAACTCAGCGGAGTCATTCCCAATTTTATCTCCAATGCTTCTAAGCTCAATGTTGTAGACATTACCGACAACTCATTTTCCGGGTTTATTCCTAACAAACTATGTGCCTTAGCAAAGCTTGAGTATCTTGGCTTATACCAAAATAATTTGAAGGTTGACACTTCAACTCCAGAAGTAAACATCTTTTCTTGTTTAGGTAATCTTAGAAATCTTCAGGTATTGATCCTGGGACGTAATCCGTTAAACGCTCCTCTTCCTATTTCTTTTCAGAATTACTCTGCATCGCTTCAAAAAAATTTCTTTAAGCGAATGCAAATTGAAGGGTAGCATTCCCAATGATTTTGGCAACTTGAGCAGCTTGATATCCATAACCCTGGCAGGCAATCAATTGAGCGGGTTAATTCCAACTTCTATAGAAAGACTAGGGAGTCTCCAAGGTTTGTTTTTGCTTTATAACAAGTTGCAAGGACATATTCCCGATGAACTTTGTCAACTAAACAAACTAGCTGTATTAGATTTGAGTCAGAATCAACCTTCTGGTTTTATACCTTCTTGCTTAGGTAATCTATCTGCAAATCTTAGAATTCTGTCGTTAGCGTCCAATTTGTTAACTTCTACACTGCCATCTACATTGTGGGAACTTGAACAAGTCTGGTTCTTGAACTTGTCATCAAATCTTCTAAATGGATCTCTGTCACAAGATATCGGCAAGTTGAAAATTGCGTCATCCGTGGATCTATCAAGCAACAATTTATTTGGTGTCATACCAAGCAGCGTTGGGGATCTTCTGGATTTAACTAATCTCTCCTTGGCAGATAATAATTGTGAAGGCCCTATTCCCAGTTCGTTCGGCAAATTGAAAGGCCTGATACTGTTGGATTTATCCAACAACAGTTTGTCTGAAGCAATTCCAAGGTCGCTTGAAACACTCTTGAATCTGAAGTACCTGAATTTTTCTTTCAACCAACTGGGAGGGGAAATTCCAGAAGGCGGACCTTTCAAAAACTTCTCTGCTCTATCATTTGTCTCGAATAAGGCGTTGTGTGGTGCAGCTCGACTCCACGTCCCACCATGCAAAAACAATACACTTCAACCAAATTCAAGGAAGGCTAGTTCATCCAACTTGAAATATATTATTCCAGCAATAATCATAGTAACAATATTCCTAGTAGCCTTTGTGTCGATATTTATACTGCACAGGAAAAAGGAAATTGAAGATGCAACAGAGGCTACCGTGTTACCTCAATCTCTTTGGAGAAGAGTTTCGCACCTGGAACTTCTAAGGGCGACAAATGGATTTAATGATAGTAACTTACTTGGAAGTGGGGGTTTTGGCTCAGTATATAAAGGGACACTCTCAGATGGGATAGATATTGCAGTAAAGATTTTCGATTTGCAGCTAGAAGGGGCTTTCAAGAGTTTTGAGAGGGAATGTGAAACGCTAAGCAATATTCGGAACCGAAATCTTATCAAAATCATTAGCTGTTGCAGCCAATTGGATTTCAAAGCCTTGGTACTGAACTATATGCCTAATGGTAGCCTTGAGAAGTGGTTGTATTCTCATAACTCTTCTTTCAATATCCTAAATAGGTTGAATATAATGGTAGATGTTGCGTTGGTAGTGGAATACCTACACCATGGTTATTCAGTGCCAATTGTCCATTGTGATTTGAAGCCAAGCAATATCCTGCTAGATGATGATATGGCTGCACATGTTGCGGATTTTGGCATTGCAAAACTCTTGGGTTTCGGGGATTCCATGACCCAAACCATGACCCTAGCCACAGTTGGGTATATGGCTCCAGGTGATCTACTTGCTAGTTTAATAACTTTCAATTTTATAATCATGAAGAACTGAACTTCTAACTTTCTTTGGTATATTAATATTGCAGAGTACGGGATGGATGGAATTGTTTCGACGCAAGGGGATGTGTACAGTTTTGGTATTGTAGTCATGGAAACATTCACAAAAATGAAGGCTACGAATGAAATGTTTGTTGATGAAATGAATCTAAAGCAATGGGTTGCAAATTCACTATCATCAGAAGCAATAGCTGAAGTTGTGGATGCCAATTTATTTGTAACACAAGGGGAAGATCCTGATTTTGCGACTAAGATAGATTGCTCATCGTCCATTATGCGATTAGCTCTTGCTTGCTGTGCAGAGCTACCAGACGAGAGAATAAACATGCAAGAAGCTGCAGCCACACTCAAAAAAACAAAAATCAAGTTTTTGCAGGATGCAGCAAGAAGTGCGCACAGTTAAACCGTCCTCTTGTTCGTGCACTTTGATGGAGTTGTTAATTTATGGGTCCTCCTGTATGCATTTTGATTCAGTTTCAGTCCTTATTTGATGCAGTTGTATTTGAAACAATTGTATATTGGCTTGAAGTTTATAGTGGAGAGTCCAGACTGATTGATCAAACATAATTATTTCATCAAGTATCACCTGCGCACTAAAAGTTGTAGCTTGCAATTCATGTTGTCAAAGGAGAAAGAGAAAATAATGCCTTTTGCAGCAAGTATTAAGCCAAACTTGTCTTCTTGATGAATCAAACCAAGCTTCTTGTTAAAGAACAAAGCAAACCCACCCGTGAGTCCTAATGTGCAGTCGAGAAGAGACTAAGAAAAAACCCCGAGCATGTTCAGCACAATCACAGAATAAAAACAAGAAAGAAAAAAACATGATCTCTCTGATTTTGAAATTTATACGATGAAAAAATGTCATGTCATTGTTACATAAAAAATAGTAATAGGTGCAACTTTATCGTCTTTAATTATATTTTTTGTGTGAGTTTATTGTTGTTTTACATGTGTACACAGTAAAGTTAGGGCCTTAGAAGAAAATTCATCACCTATTATGTTTTGTAAAAGCAACTGTTGGACAATAACCTTGATACCGGAAAATTGATCGCCGATCAGCCGATCGCTGCAAATTTTTGCCGGTCAGAAAACGTAGTAGAATTGAGTGGTAATTATATAATTATTTTGAGTTAACGTGGTACTTATTGAATTATTTTGGTTGACTATTCTATTAGTACCTAAACTGAAAATATGATATTTTTACTTTTTTTTTTTGACAAAAAAAGGGACACCTCGTGCTTAAATGCAAAAGTTCAGTCTTCCTCTTCACTATTCTGTGTTCACAGTTCACAGCAGCATATTCAAATCCTTCCTCTTCAGTCTTCCCAGCAGCATATCCAAATCCTTCCTCAAAGGTTCGTTCTTTTCCAATTCAATTCTTTTTTCCGCAAATGGGTTTTTTGGGTATTTGAATTGTGTTTCATGTACGATTTCGGGTTGAAAGATTTGATTTTTTTTTGTTCATTTGGGGATTCCCAATTGCTTGATTGATTGGTTAATATTGAAACCCTAGGCGTCTGATGCTTCGCCGTTGAACAACGGAAATAGGAGTGGGCCGCCGGCAGTTTTATTGTCTTCCTCCACCTATGTCCACGTGTTTGATAGTCTTCCTCCATCTGTCTCTCGTACTGCTTTTTGCTAGTCTTTATACACACTCCATGTGTTTGATTTAATGCCTCAATGAATTATCTGACGAATCAGTCCCCAGGGGCAATGTGAATCAAAATGAGAATGAAATGGTGGTAATTCTGATTATACCGTTGTTGATGTTGAGGTAGCAAACGAGGTAAGTGAGGGTAATAGAGATGAAGGGGAGGTAGCAAAATGTTCAGTACAAAGGTATTAAACTTGGTCTAGGGGATATCTTTTTCTACAGTTTTCTTGTGCGCAGAGCTGCAATGTATGACCTTATGACTGTGTATGCCTGTTATCTTGCCATTATTTTGGGGCTCAGAGTGCACTCTTATTTTTTGGTCAGTGTACCATCGAGCTTTGCCAGCTTTGCCCATATCTATCATCTTGGGTGTCGTGTTTTACTTCTCTACTTGGTTATTAATGGAGCCTTTTGTTATTGGAACAGCTACAACTTGTTGATATTTTGATAGTCCATTTTTTTTTGGTAAGAGAGATTATTTATTTAAGAGGAAGCTGATGTCCTAGCTATTTTCTGTTGCTACTGCATTCTCTATCAAATGGGTTTCCAAATTATAAGTTCATCGATAATGTCTATTGGTTTGTAATGGTGGATCAGAGTATATAAAAAGGATTTGGTTGTCTAAATTTGTATTGAACAAAATTAATATTGTTCATTGTCTTAAAAGATTTGGTTTGTCTAAATTTTTTTGGGATCTTTTATCCTTTTAAATTCCGCCCCTCCCCTCGATAATTCCCGGCTTCGCCACTGCTTCACATTGCAACCGAATTGCGAATCCTTCCCCTTCATTGCCTTAACAATGCGAATCCTTCCCCTCCGCTTCGTTCCAGGCTTCCAATTTCGTGCTTTAATTTGAATGGTTTCTCTTTCATTTTATTTTTGTAATCGAGTATGTTTAGTTCATTGGTTGAAGAATTTGATATTTTGCCCTCCCTGCTTTGTTGAGTTTTGTAGTTTAAGAATGTTTTGTTTGAATTTTTTACAGGTACTTGCTCTGTCTCAACATCCTCTCTCTCCACTGCTTGTTTGGTGCCTATGAAGCTTGTTAGTTTTTTTCTCAATATACTTACATACATATGCACTCTTCATATATAAATGTTAAAGCTTGAATCTTGGGATTATTATTTATGGTTATTAGTATTTATATTTCTTTGTGCAGACATGTTTGAGCAAAGGTGGTGGTTACCATCTCCCACCCTGCCACATACTCAATATATGTGGTTTTACCATTTTAGTGGATTGCCCATTGGACCTTTCTGCTCTTACAATCTTCTCCCCTATTCCTTCTAGTTCAGAAGCTAGTCACTTGGATAAAGAGAGTCCCAATTCCCTAAACTATAGTGATTTGTTAGATTTGGAGGAGCCCTTGTTTCGGAAGAGACAAAAAGTCGAAAAGTCCCTGGATGCTGATGATTTGATTTGCGCAGTCCCCTGGTACAAAACTGTCAAAAACTTACACCTATGGAATGCCTCTTTTATTGATGCGGTATTGATATCGAGTCCGATGGGTATGTTAGGATTACCATTTATTACTCGGATGAAGGGATTTTCTGCTAAGGTATAATGTAATTTAAGATAAGATAATATAATGTCCTACTGTCATTTTGGTGTTTAAGGAATTTGTTTATAACTTCAATTTGTAAGTATTTTCATGGAGTTGGATCTGATTTCTTAGCTTTGTTGATTCTTAAAACGTGTCAGATATATGTGACTGAAGCAACAGCAAGACTTGGGCAACTTATGATGGAGGATCTTGTTTCGATGCATATGGAAATCAGGCAGTTGTTTGGACCTGAGGAGTCATCTTTTCCTCGGTGGATGAAGTGGGAAGTGCTTAAGCTTCTTCCGTCTTCGTTGAGACGGCTGGTATTAGGCAAAGATGGGGGTGAGCTGGGTGGTTGGATGCCCTTGTACAGGTACTTAATACTGTATCCAAATAGTTAATGTTGATTGTTTCAAAATTAAATTTTCTTGGTTGAATATGCCAACTGCCTACCCGTGTTGTACATATACATGTTTTAAGTCAGTCTGTATAACCTCGCTGTAATTTTGTGTTCTGGAATTGTAAACGATAAGGTGATGGAGAAGAAGCTAATTTCTTTGACGATTTCCCAACTAAATTTATGAAATATTTTTAGGATGTAGATTGTGGAAATATTATCTTGTCTGACAATTTGACATTTTATGTTACTAGACTTTAGTCTGAACCATTTATCAGGTGGTGTATTGTTCTTTGGAATCATGTGTTCGAGTTGACAATTTTAATTTAACAGTCTGACAAGACCATTGCCCCTC